TATACATGGTAGGAATTATAACGTCTGATGTCGATTTGATCAGTATTTTTCAAATAAGTTTCCTGATGACATAATGCTGACGGTGTAAATTCTTGTAGTAAGAGTTGGAGATCATTAAAATTAATCCTCTACAATTCCACTGAATGATTTTGTTCGAGCTGCTCATGGCGGCTCAACAGCTGATCTTGAGTGGGAGGTACGTCCACTCCCATGTACTGGCTCTGTAGGGGTGAGGTGAACCTCAATTGGTGTTGAAACAGCAGGCATCTCCAAGTGTTGGAGTGCCCTTGTACTTTTTTTGTAATTTCTTTGTTTCCTTATTAGTTAAGTGGGCCTCAGTTTTCAGTTTCTTTAGAAATAGGAGGTTCTGTCTGGGAAGATGCTGACGGATGACCATTCTGACATGAAACAGATGAATATTTGTTTGACAGGAAACAGGTTGTCTGAACTGCAGTAACTGATGTTGAAGAAGAGATTGCTGCTGAATATGTTTTTGAAGTCAGAGATTGAGCTGCAGATGGAACTAATTTTTTGGCTTCAAGATAGGTTATATTATTTGTGTGTTTAATTTTCAGGATTTTAGACTCAAATTCAAAAGTTGGACATGACTTGGAGGAAGCTAAGTGCTCACCATTGCAGTTGGCACATTTGATGTTATTTGTGCACTCAGAGCTGTCATGCGCTCCACTGCAATGGCAGCACACAACTACCTTGCCACGGCAGAACTTGGCCCCATGACCAAACTTTTGACATTTGAACCATCGGACTGGATTTGGTACATAAACCTCCACTCCGATGTTGAAGTATCCAGCTTTCAATGATTTTGGTATTTGTGGTTGAGAAAAAGTAAACAGGTATGTATGCGTTATTACAATGTTGCCATCTTGTGTTTTTCATGTGAAACTTTTAACATTGGTGACGCCTTGGTTTTTGAGTTCAGTAGCAATCTCTTCTTCACTCATGTCAGACAGACAACGAGCTAAGTCCTCTTAGCAATACCTCTGCTCGAGTTCAGTGTCTTGTGCACTGAGACAACAACCTGAGTATGAACAAACTGTTGTAAACCCAACAGATTGTCAGATTGCTGCCTCCATGCACATTCCACAAGTAGGGAACCATCACACAGGCGTGTGACATTTTTCACATCACCACAGACACCCTTGATGCCCAAGGAGATAGCGAATGGATTAAGTTTTAAAGGATTTCCATCAGCAGAAGCAAGTACAATGAAACGTGGCCAAGAATCAATTATCTCAGGAGTGACCTCCTCATCAGACGAAAGTACATCCACATGTCTACGTTTATTTGTCTTTGATGAACCAGGTAGATTTGGTTGAGCCATGGTGTGAGAATATGATTCAGCACCCCTGCTCCCCTCCCGCCATCGAGTGTCAACATGGACGATATTGCAGTGGAAGCCAGCCTGCAACACCAGGGTTACAGGGGTGTTAAACTCCAGAAATAGAGACATGAAAAGCTATGAAAACTAAAAGAATAGATGTCAGGCTGGTTCTGCCCACGACACAATTCCCAAGAACCACAGATTTCAGAGGTCTGTATCACCAGATTGGCCCATGAGCCACCGCCTTCTCGCATAGGTCTCTAGGCAAAATATATACCAGCATCAAATACGTTATCACATATTATGATAAACAAGTTTTTTATATGAAAGTTCTAAAGACAAGTTTTCCATGCACAGGGCATGGCATGACGAGCCGATTGATAGAATCGGGCCAATTCTACCATCCGTCTAGGTGTAGTAAGGGTCGAAAGTGGTGTGTTGGGCAAAAGGAACACAGTTCCTGGCTCCAGTGCCCTCAACCACCAGACTCCCGTCCTCCACCGACACAGGGGCGCAACCCGCGGCAAACAGGTTGCCCAATTCGGTCGCCTTTTACGACCAGCAATGGGGTGCTGTGGACAAATTCTACCCCGAGTCCACACGGGGGAAGAGCTATTAGCGTTACCCAGCACTCACCACGGGGAGGTTGCTCTTCACGAGTGCCAGTTCAGCAAGGAAGACAACGTATATTCCTGAACAAACGGTAGGTACATTTTAGATTTATATATTTGTTTAACATTACTATATTTTATAAATTATTGCCCCCTGCATTGTCTACATACCAATTAGGCTAATAAATCCACTGAAACGACCCCCATCCAAACCAATTCTCACTTAGATATTGAACTAAATTTTAGCGTGACCTGAAAAAGAAAACTTTTTCAATGTTCATTCATGAATCGTATATTTATGTTCTTAATTTGGGAACCTCAAACTGAAATGGAAAAACATTTTTTTTATGTAATAAATAGGGCTGAAATCATAAAGTTTAAGAAACTTTTTTAAATGTTGGACCTTTTATTCATATAATTTACAACTGCCCCTGACTATTCACTAAAAAAAATAATAGGCGTAGATGTAATTGCTTGTAGTATTGTGCCGGACTTCCAGATTTCACGTTTCAATCACATCGTGCTTCGTAAAATTTACGGAGACTGGTGAAGGGTGGATTGAGAAAAATAGTATTTTCCCAAAACAAATTATGTATCTGGTCACTGAAATGTGAAATATGATCGCATACTGTAGTCTATGTTTATGAAATTATTAAATTATTAGATAACAATATATATTTGTTTTATTTTAAACTCTATTTGCCTTAAGCTTTTTTTATAAAATGAAACTTAGTTTGCTTTTGTACACACAAATGTCCATAGTTGTATGGTACCGTATCGCCGCCATTTTGTAACCTGCTGTTTTCACGAGGAGGTTGTTAGATATTTTTTTTAAGAACTCTCAAGTAAGGGCAACTCTTGTACTGTAATGTATTTGTAAGAAATGGAAATATATCTATCGTCCCTGTAAATGTTGTGGTTCATGAAAATTACGTTGCGTTAGACCGATTTCCCCATCGACATGCTCCATGGCTATCGCGGCATAGATCTAGAGTTGTGATTTGGGCTGGCACCAGGTTGTAGTATTATTTGTAGTAAAGTTATTGTCAACTTTGACTGACAGTTTTAGTGTTATGTCATTAATGCATGCAACTTGACTTTTCAGCCCCCTTCCTAGTGGTGCAGTTTGAAGATAGAAAGGAAAGATACATCACAGACTTGGGAGAAGTAACAACTCCTGATGATGAGCCTGTTACGTGGGAGGGGTTAAGGAGAAGATGCCAGTTGCTGCCTGGTGGCCAGATACTGGATGCTTTTATGATGCCACCATCACCAGTGTGGTACTCCAAGGTCAGTTGTTTTTTAAGTGTCAGGGGGTACCTTTAATTTCAGGTTAATGGAACTGGTACTAGATCTAAAGAAGTTATGAAACTAACTAGATCTCCTACTTACAAAGTGTACACATACTTGTAAGGTAAAGATTTAATTTTTCAAATTTAATGTTCAATTATGACAACACTCGGAATCATAGTAAGGAATAGAGGTGTGTTACAATATAAATAATCTTCCTGTGTTAGGTAGTCTACAACCTCTGCATTATGGAATAATTCAAACTGGAGTGTTTGAGCACTGAGTACTTGTAAATTGCAAGACCATTTTTTACATTATTCTAGAACACATTTAGTGAGTTAGTGAGTAATGATTTTGGTCAACAAACATGGACATCATTATTAACTGACTGTCTAATCACAAGATCTCAACTAATTGATAACATTTAAAATCTAGTTTTGGTACCTGCTTTATTTGTTGTTGTTTTCCTTCAGAATCTCCATCCAAGAGGAACAAGAAGACCAGGACAGCATCAGCCAAGTCACAGACTAGTGGTATGTTTTGTAGCTATTAAATCATTATACATTTGGACTGGAACCATTTCACCTGAGTGCTTTTAATGCTCTTTTTTTGCAATTTATTTTTACTGTATCATGAATTATGAAGCATTGAATTGTCATCCTGTGTAACATGTATTCTTTTTGCAGCGGTTCTGAAAGCGGCAAAGAAAAGTCAACAGGAACTTCGCTCCAGACTTGCTAACCAGAGGGCAAAATCTTTCTTCACTAGCAGAGCACTCCAGCCTTCCCCATCCACTAACTCCCTTCAGCCTTCCCCATCCACTAACTCCCCTCAGCCTTCCCCATCCACTAACTCCCTTCAGCCTTCCCCATCCACTAACTCCCTTCAGCCTTCCCCATCCACTAACACCCTTTAGCCTTCCCCATCCACTAACTCCCTTCAGCCTTCCCCATCCACTAACTTCCCTCAGCCTTCCCCATCCACTAACTCCCCTCAGCCTTCCCCATCCACTAACTCCCCTCAGCCTTCCCCATCCACTAACTTCCCTCAGCCTTCCCCATCCACTAACTTCCCTCAGCCTTCCCCATCCACTAACTTCCCTCAGCCTTCCCCATCCACTTACTCCCCTCAGCCTTCCCCATCCACTAACTTCCCTCAGCCTTCCCCATCCACTAACTTCCCTCAGCCTTCCCCATCCACTAACTCCCTTCAGCCTTCCCCATCCACTAACTCCCTTCAACCTTCCCCATCCACTAACTCCCTTCAGCCTTCCCCATTCACTGACTTCCCTTCAGCCTTCCCCATCCACTAACTTCCCTCGGCCTTCCCCATCCACTAACTTCCCTCAGCCTTCCCCATCCACTAACTCCCTTCAGCCTTCCCCATCCACTAAATCCCCTCTGCCTTCCCCATCCACTAACTTCCCTCAGCCTTCCCCATCCACTAACTCCCATCAGCCTTCCCCATCAAGTAACTCCAGCCGGCCTTCCCAGTCGCCGCTTCACTCATCTCTGCCTTCTCTCTCACATCAACCTTCCAAGCCTTCCCAGTCACTGCACTCTCCTCAGCCTTCAAACCACTCCCACAGTTCTCCCCGGCCTTTGACAACTTTACAACCCCCCCCCCCCCCCCCCCCCCTTGCATTTCCTAACCAGCCTTGCCTACCAAAGCCCACCCCAGCCCTCCTGACCCAACACCCCAGCGCACAACAATGGCCTTTCACAACCTACAACCCCTTTCAACATGTATGGCAACAGTCCTCCACCCCTCAACTAACTGCCCAAGAACCTGGCTCATTTACGGCTCTTCTAAGAAGCTGCGAAGACTGCCCCTTAAAAGAAGTGCAGCTACAAACCTTACAGTCAGAACTCAACCTTTGGAGGGACCGAGCCCTTAAGGCCGAAAAAAGAACTCCGTTAACTTCAGACAAATGTGCCAGGTATGTTGAAACAAAGATGCTTGAAAATCATCTTTAAAAAAAATATTCAGTTGCTATTCTTGATATATGCATTACCAGTATAATAAATGGAAATGTTAAAATAAAATTAAATGGTAAATAAATAAAATATATAAATAACAAAAAATAAATCTTCAGCTTGTTATCCTAGTTGTTCACAACACTATGTACCCCATAGAATTATTTTTTGTTGTTTAATATTTTGCAGACACCACAACTAAGCCGCCACAATACAAGCCCCTTCGAGGCGTACAAGTGCCAAGATGCCATTATGTAAGTAAATGTTTATAGACATTTCAGCTTCCGAAATTGAATTTAAGACTCACTTGTCATTGCATACAGTTGTTTTTTACTTCACTACTGCATGTCATTTGTATTGCTTATAATTTTTGGGTTAACAGGTACAGCTCAGGGGAGATGACAAACTTCCATCAGGCTACCAACTACTGACTCATGGAGCCAGCCTGGCCGTTCCCATCACATGGTATCCACATGTGATGGCAAAGTGTGGCAATGTGGGGGATAGTGGGAAACTGAAGCGATTCATGGACGGATTTTTCGAACCCTCCGACATTGGACAAGGCACTGCCGCAATGTTCAAAAGAAAACAGGCCGTTGTATTGCAGGCTCTAGAGAGTAAGTATTATCTCAACCACTCAAATTTCCTGAGGAAATTAAAAAATACCCACCGAAAGCGGTATTAAAGAATTTCAAATACACTGATAATGGATATATACTATAATATTAAATACAACAATGTCATTTTATATAGCAAATTTTTTCAAATGATTTGTTATTTTGTAGTTTTTGCCACTGAGAGGCTAAAGTTGCTACCCAATCAGTTTTCTAATGCACTGAGTAAGAAGATTTGTACATTGAGGAATGCATTCATGCGAATGAGCCAAGGTAAGTTTATATCACGATTTGTTTCATTTGTTACATCAGTAATCTGGTAACAAAAATAGTTTTTAATGCGTCTTCTTGACATCCTATAATTTTCATTATAATTTTGTCACAGATAAACAGTAATATTTGATCCCATTTCAGCCCCTTGAAGGATTGCCTGCTTCTCGTGAAGATCCGGGGTAGTTTTCAGAAACCCATGCTTGCCGTAAATGGTGGCTCATGCTCTGTTTGTGATGGTACTCATGCGGTGGTACTTCCTCCACCGAAACTGTCAAATTCTGGTATGCAGGATCTGGTGCCATGACACTCATTCCATGCTGATCAGCTCATCTCTCCTTTGAAGTAGGAAACAGGATTCATCACCCAGCCAAACACTTTGCCAACGTTGGTGAAGCTGCTGCTGATGTAATGGACACAACTGCTAAAGTTATAAATGCCAGTCTTAAATAAAAGTCAAATCAATTTGCTGAAAGAAAAACATTTTCTTCTTTCGTGAAAGGTTTCACACAAAGTGCTCCGATATTTCAGCCAGAAATGGAATCACATCAGATCATGAACTTCTGAGAACTTCAAATAAAGAGAATAACATGCATCTTTGTTATCTCATTTTTGACAGTACAGGTTTGGCAAGGATGTTTCTGAGACTAGATTATGATGTGAGCACTGTATTACTGAAAAGGATGAAAAGGTAAAGTGTCTCTGAAACACCTTTGTAGTGGGGACTTCCTAAGAATGTGTGCCAGGATGTTTCAAAGCATATTTAATTTCTCATGATAGGTTAGTGAAGGCGCTTCGGAGACTTCCTTGCAAGTGTTACGGGGATGCTTGAGAAACATCTTTAATTACCTAATAATAGTTTGTGGAGACTATTCGGGGACTTCCTGAGAAGGTTTGCCAGGATGGTTCAAAGCATAATTAATTACCCCTGATAGGCTTGTGAAGACGCTTTGGAGACTTCCTTGCAAGTGTGCGGGAATGCTTGAGAAACATCTTTGATTACCTAATAACAGTTTGTGGAGACTATTCGGGGACTTCCTAAGAAGGTTTGCCGGGATGGTTCACAGCATATTTAATTACCCCCTATAGGTCAGCGAAGGCCCCTCGGAGACCTCCTTGCAAGTGTTGCTGGGATGCTTGAGAAACATCTTTGATTACCTAATAATAGTTTGTGGAGACTATTCGGGGACTTCCTAAGAAGGTTTGCCGGGATGGTTCAAAGCATATTTAATTACCCCTGATAGGTTTGTGAGGACGCTCCGGAGACTTCCTTGCAAGTGTTGCGGGGATGCTTTAGAAACACCAAATAATAGTTTGTGGAGACTATTCGGGGACTTCCTAAGAACTTTGCTGGGATGGTTCAAAGCATATTTAATTACCCCTAATAGATTTGTGAAGACGCTTCGGAGACCTTGCAAGTGTTGCTGGGATGCTTCAAAAACATCTTTGATTATGTAACACAAGTTTGTGGAGAATAACCGGGGTCTTCCTTAGTAGTTTTGCCGAGATTGTTCAAAGCATATTTAATTAGCCATAAAAGGTTAGTTCTGAGGAAGTATTGGAGACTACTTCAACAGGTACTGTAGGGAAGTCTTGGATACATCTCGGCAAGCTGCAAGTTGGAGTAGTTTGCCGAGATGGTGTAGAGACATTTGCCGGGAATATGTAGAGATGTCCTTAAGACCCATCGGGGAATGATTAAGGCGGTCTCGGATGCCTCTTTTTTAGGCCTTTTTTTTTGTATGGGAACCCACCCACTACATTCTTAAATATATATTTTACCCAAAATAATCCCCAGTCGACCACACTGGCAAATCTAGAAACATAATCTGGGCGAACCGGAATTCAAACCCACAATCATAGGTTTCTGGCACAGCGAATCACGGCACCTTAGACGACTGGGCTAAAGGTGCCCCTGCATCTTAGGAGAATACATTACTGTATGTCTACAAAGCCTGGAGTGCATTTTGCAAGAACTTAAGGGGCATAGTCCAAATGCAAATGACAAAATTGAAAATATCATCACAAACTGAAAATGTGTTGAGTCCCACAACTAAGGACACTTTTTCTAAATCAAATTTAATTCTGAATGTAAAAAAGACCATAAATAGGTTTTTCAATATGATAACAATGATCAATCAATGAATGTGTAAATATACTCTCTTAAAAAAGTAGGGGATCATGAAATATAAAATCAAGTATTAGAACAAAGATAAGTGTTGTCGTGAAGACAAACGTCCTATGCAAGAATGTTTATCTCTGTCAAATGTAACACCAAAACACTTGCTTTAGTTTGCACATGCTGCATGCGGTCGTGCCATACATGTGCATAGGGTATCATTCAGGATTTTGACACTTTCAAAGAATGTCAATTTATCTCTCTGGACCATTAGCGATGTAGCATCTGCAAGGTGAGTGTTTACTAGCTAGTGGCATGCTGGAACAGGCAGAAGTCAGTGTGCAGTGGCCAATTTGTCCAATGTTTCAGAGTCTGTGATTAGCAGACTATTGAACAGGTACCAACAAAACCAAAATATTGAAGAACGACCACCGTTAAGTCTGTCCCAGTTCAACAACAAAAGTGCACGATTGATTTAGCTGAAACCAGGCTCCATGAAATTGAGCTCAAAATGCAAATCAAATTCCTTCAAACTTTCATCAGGCTACTGGAGCTACGGGTCAAACAATTCAAAATAGTCTACATCATGTTGTGCCGTCCCTAATAAATCCACATGCTGCCAACAGACGTCAGTTGTGTACACAATATCAAAACTGGGGTGATAGTCGCTGGTCACGTGTCATGTTTTCAGATGAGTCCCGATTCACTTTGCACTTCCTTGAAGGGTGTGGTTGTGTCTGGTAGATGTAAATATCAAGCTATGGAATACAGAAATGAGATCCAAAGCAGCCTTAGTCATCTTAAAAATTATCAGGGCAACTATCTGCCTAGTGCTTTGGACTTATTGCTTTGATCTTTGTATGTGTTAATTATGTAGCTGGCTTCCTTTTGCCCTTATTGCTATTTCCATTCTTTTACCTATCAGTGCTAAATACCCCCGGTCGCCCGTTTGCCCATTGTCCATTACCAATCAATGATAATTTAAGGGCTGGCTTCTAGTTGTCTATAGCCATCAGTGCTAATTACTGTAAAGTGTTGGCTTCTATTGTCTTAATTTTGCTAATCACCCATCAGCGGCAATTGTCTGTTGGCCTCCCTTGTTAGTTTTCACCTTTTGTTGTCCTTGCTGTAATCCCACCCCATACCATAATGCTGCCGCCCCCAAACCAATCTTCTTCACTGACACAATGATTGATGTAACGTTCACCTCAACGTCGGTACACTCGAATCCGTCCATCGCTGTGGCTGAGGTGAAAACGAGACTCATCAGTGAATAGAACTTGTCCCCACTGCATCGCCGTCCACTGTAGACGTGCTTGACGGTGGTTTCCTGTCAAAATGGGACGTCTGGCGGGTCTTCTGGCAACAATCACTGCACATCTGAGGCGACGACGTATGGTGACGATATTCGTCGAAAGCCAGGGATGCTTCTTGCAGTCACTGTGGCTGGCCGGAATCGATTTCGTAGGTGTGTTGTTTGAATCCAGTTGTCTTGTCGATTATTGGTTACACGTGGCCTGCCACTCCGAGGATGGTCTCTGACTGCATTCGTCTGTTGCCAACGTTGCCATGAACACCAAATGGTGTTTCTGTGGACGTTAAATTGTCTTACAACATCACGTTGACTCGATCCTGCTTCAAGCATACCAATGGCTCGCAGATGCTCATTTTCGGACAGGCGTGGCATTTCGTAATGTTGAATAATTGTGTAATTTGTTGTTTTTCTGAGTGGTTGTTGTCAGCACGATGCTAAACAATGCATCTGGAATCCCATTAACGCACGTTTTTATATCCATTCTTGGGTAGTGAAATGCATGGGGCTTGCATAAAAGTCAACTTTTGCATGGAATGCATGCTTTTCTGTAGCAGTTGCGTTTTGGTGACTTGATTCCATACATGTACTACAATATTGAAAACTTTACTTGTTTGAAATATACACGAAAATATTGGTGTCACAGGAACTTTTGTTGTTGAGTATATATGATCTCTGCCTTATAGCATTCATTCACCTCATGAAAGAGTAAGCATATATTCTCAAACGTTGTGTTTCGTCATAATAAAGAAATTGACATCCATAAATTCTTTTCCTTATGTGTATCACTTCTAATGCAATTCAAAGACTTAAAAATTACCATCCGCACAATCAAAAATCTGAACCTGATTTCACTGTGGGGATACTTTTTTGTATCAAACAATAACCGCCAAAGCTATTTCAAAATAGCATGCCTAACTCTTCATAAAACATCCGTAAACAAAGCATTTTAGTGAAACTGGCAAAATTCACTGTAACGTCAATCTCATATGTAGCTCGATCGGGACCATTTCAGATCTCAGCCCCACCCTACACCTCTCTGAAGAGTGAGTGGGTGAGTGAGTGAGTGAGTGAGATAGCTTTGTTTTATGCCGCCTTTAGCATTATTCCAGGAATATCACAGCAGGGGACACCAGAAATGGGCTTCACACATTGTACCAATGTGGG